TGGAGAAACAACAGCAGGCTCTGACAACTCAGATGAACAGCTCAATATAATGTAGAAAGACACATCTCCATGAGTTAAAAGAGAATTTATTATACCTGCCCCAATTGGAACATCACAAAGAAAACTTGAAGCCTTTCATACTCTGACATGTACTTTTAGACTGCTCATAAAGGGTTAAAGAGTGACATGATAGAGAATACCGGGGAGTTTCTGAGGTTCTACATTCTATATCTTTATCTGAGCACAAGTCATATGAGTACAGTTATCTATAAGTAGATTACACTTCAACGTGAAGCTTAGCTGGGTAAGTTATGGTTGAATGGTAAAGCCACTGCCTAGTACTGTGTAAGGTCTAGGTTGTATCCCCAGCACTGTGTCCCACGTTCTCTCCCCCTAACACAAGTTTAAAGCTTTCTTCATAATTTGAAGAAAGGAAAGACAGCAAAAAGTTGAGCACAAACAGTGGAAGGAATGCCAGTGTTAATAGCTGACAGTATTGCACCTGGATGCACTTGGCCCGTCCCCCAGTCCCAGTGCTAGTTCAGACTACCAATGTGTGTCATGTTCTCTGTAAGCACTGTGATCCCATTTTCATTTAAACCAACACAAACATGGAAGTAAGAGAACAATTAAAAAAACAAAACAAAACAAAACAAAACCCTTTCTAAGGCCACTAAATGCTAAAGGCACTTAATGTGCAAGCCTGGTGACCTAAGTTGGATCCCTAGCACCCACATGAGTGTGGAAGGAGGGATCCAACTCTGCTTATGTCCTCTGACCTCCACACAGGGGAAATGGAGATGAGTGTGCGCTCACACAAACATCATGTACACACACACACACACACACATGCACACACCGCCTATTGCAAAACAATTACCAAAAAACTACAAAGGAGCATGGTGGTGCACCCTTTAATCCCAGCTCTTAGGAGGCAGAGGCAGGCAGACCTCTGTGAATTCCAGGCCAATCTGGTCTACAGATTGGCAAATTCCAGGCTAGCACCCACATAGTGGCTCACAACCACTTGTAACCCCAGTTCCAGGAGATCCAGTGCCTTCGCTGTTCCCCAAAGGCAGTGTGTCTTAGTTTGTTCTTCATTGCTGTGACAAAACACTCTGACCAGTACCAACTTGGGGAGGAAAGGGTTTATTTGTCTTACATCTCCCAGGTCGCATGCAGTTCATCAGGGAGCCCAAGGTAGGAACTCAGGGCAGGAACCTGGAGGCAGGAGCTGGAGCACAGGCCATGGAGGAACACTGCTTACAGGCTTGCTCCCTTGGCTCCTGCTCAGCCTGCTTTCTTATGCAACACAGGCCCACCTGCCCAGGGGTGGCACCACCCACAGTGGGCTGGGCCCTCCCACATCACTCATCAAGAAGATGCCCCTCAGACATGGCCACAGGCCAGTCCAATAGAAGCAATTCCCCGATTGAGGCTCCCTCAACCCAGGTGTGTCAAGTTGACACTAAAGCTATCCAGCACACAGTGCATACATATAGTGTATTTACAACCATGTAGGCAAAACACTGATACACATAAAAGAAAAAAGATTGCACTAACACACAAAAATAAACTGTAAATGAAAATAACTATCTTTACAATCATTCACTGTTATAAGTTCTGCTCACCCTTAGTATTTGACCTAATGCACAAATTTGTTCATGGCTAGAACTAATAAAAGTTAAATGGGGGGCAGGAGAGAAGGCTCAGCAGTTAAGAACATTGGCTACTCTTCCAGAGGACTCGGGTTCAATTCCCAACACCCACATGGCAACTAACAACCATATGTAACTCTAGTTCCAGGGGATCCAATGCCATCTTCCGGCCTCTACGGGCTTTGCACAACACAGGTACACTTACATACATGCAGGCAAAATACTCATACACATAAAATAAAAATAAATGAATAAATAAAAGTTAAGTGACTATCCTAAAATTTTCAAGGACTAAATTTATGGGTTAAAATCATTTAAATAAAGCAAAATGATGCAAACTATTTACTCATCACATCTAAGAATATCCTAAGCACATTTTGACAAAATATACATGGCTTTAGCAGACAGGCTACACAAATATAACATTCCCTAGAATACTCTATTCTTACATTAATTAAAAGATGTTTTATGAAGCCAGGCATGGTGGTGCACACCTTTAATCCCAGCACTTGGGAGGCAGAGGCAGGTGGATCTTTGTGAGTTTGAGGCCAGCCTGGTCTACATATGAGTTCTAGGATAGCTGGGGCTACAAGAAGACCCTGTCTCAAAAAGACCGAAGGCGGGGGGAGATGTTTTAGGAAAAAATACTAAGTAAGCAAATATATAAAATTGCAATATGAGGCTCACAGTCATTGTATTTTTATATTCCTAGGCTGCTTAAACCCCAATACTTTTATGTATAAAATCAGATGCCAATCAGGTATGGTATGAATAATGTATGCAAAGCCATCTAACCAAACAACAGAAAACAAGATAACTGTCCAACGAAATAGCTCTTCTCACTTGAATAAAAACAATAGTAGACTTTTCTACTTTCCCATTGAGACAGATGAGAAAGACCCACTTTCCCTTGGGGCAAAAGCTAAGCATAGAGTTCCATGCCTGCTCAATCACTGTCAATGTTAATAAGCCTTTACTGTAATCACCCACTTAATGTTTTGTTTTTCCTTTCAATAAGCTAAGATGTTGGGCAGTGGGGTGATCAGACTCCTAACTGAAGGCTGTTAGATACTTCCCAGGTGTCCCACAGTGGTTTGGGGAAGAGGGTCAACAACATTGTCAGATGACTGCTTTCCCACTAGACTACCTTCATGCTAACACTGACTACTTTAAACACTCTACAGACACCTTGAGGAAACCTCAGCTGCTTGTTGCCAAAGTGCAACTCTAGCCCCAGAAGGCAACATTCCAAACAGTTTGTGGGGGCTGGAGAGATGTCTCAGTGCTTAAGCACATTGGCTGCTCTTGCAGAGAACCTGGGTTCGATTCTCAGCACTCACATGGCAGCTAACAACCATTGGCAACTCCAGTTCCGGGGGATCTGACACCCTCTTCTGACTTCCTCAGGCACTGCATGACATGGATGCACCTACCTACATGCAGGGAATACACTCATACACATGAAATAACAATAAATTTATTATTAACTACTAAGCCATCTCTCCAGCCCCATAAATTTATATTTAAAAAAAAAAAAAAAAACAGTTTGTGCCATACTTTGGGCCATTTCAAGTTTCAGTAAACTCTAGATGACCGTGCAGCCACTTTCACCCAGACCAGAAGGGAAGCATTTGCCCTGATGGCCCGGGAAACTTGTGATGAGTAGAAACACAGTCCATTTTGACATGAAGGTCTTCTGTGATTGGTGCAGATACCCTTCTCATACCTACTCACAGCAGGCTGTCTGGCTTACTTGCTGAGCCAACTGAGACACTCTCCTGTGCTACCCCTTTCTTGCAACATTAGACCCAATAAAGGCTTCTCTAGATGATCTTCTCTTGACAACTTTTCTAACACAATATTTTATTTTTATTCTGTGTATTATCTGCATGTATGTAAGTACACCTGTGTCAGGCAAGGCCCTCTGAGTTAAAAGAGGACGTTGGATTCCTTGGTTATTAGCCACCATGTGGATGCTGGGAACCAAACCTAGGTCCTCTTCAAGAGCCGCCAGAGCTCTTAAGCACTGCAACATCTCTCCAGCCCCCACAAACTGGGGCCAGAGTTGCACTTTGGCAATTCACTGAGCCATCTCTCCAGCCCCTTAGCTACTTTTGATTTTAATCATTACTGAAGTACACTGAGCTGGAAACACAAAGAGAGGGTGGCATCAGAGGAGGCAATGGTGGAGAACAATGGCAGAGCAGTGGAGGCAACCAAGGTGGTGTCAACTGCCTCCCTAATGGAGATAGCAGTGGTGAGAGGACAGGAGCAGAAGCAAATAAAGGGCTATCAAGTGAAGATGGGAAACTGCAGGCCCTACTTGCTAAGAGTTTCAGTGAGTTGCAAAGCTTTTGGGACAAAGGGACTCAGACTCCCCAAGCCCAAGTGATATACTAACCAGTGTCAGGGGTGAAAATCCCAATATTCTTTTGCTGAAGGGCTCTGGGTTCCAGCATCTGAGGCCTGTTCCAAGAGCTTTAACACTAGCAGGTGAGCTGCTCTGCTCACGAATGCTAGAAAAGGGGTTTTTAATAGCTGCCAAGTACTTGGTTGCTGATAGTTAAAGTACAAAGCTACAACCCTCCAACCTGACTGCCTGAAGCTCTAAGTCCCTGGCTTCTAAAGCCTAGAGCAATAGGCCCTGGGCCTGCCAGGACAGCCTGTCCAGGATTGTCAACACTGGAAGAATGTCTCCTTGCCTGCTCATAATTCCTTTCCAGATAGAACAGAAAGACCACAGCCAGCTGATTGGTAACACTACTGTTTTATGTTTTGCTTCATTTTGATTTTTAGATTTATTTTTATTTATGTGACTGTATATCTGAGTATATGCCATGGGTATGTAGTTGCCCATACAGACCAGAGGGGAGTGTCGAATTCCCTGGAGCTAGAGTTGCAGGTAGTCGTGAGGTGCCGAATGTGGGTACTGAAAACTTAACTAAGACCTCTGGAAGGACACCAAGCACTCTTCACTGCTAAGTCACTGTTCAGTCCCCAACACTACTGCGGTTTCATCTATAAATAAACTCTGTCAAAAAAAAAAAATCATAATCACTTCTCTGTCATTTGCTTTTTGAGATAGGGTCCCACTCTAGCCCAGGCTAACCTGGAACTCCTGCTGTAGCTCAGAGTGGTCTCAGACTCACTGTGATTCTCCTACCTCAGCCTCTCTAGTACTGGGAGTACAGGCATGAGCTGCCGCACCAGGTGCAATCATTTCTAATAGATATTCAGATACTTATGAAACATTCTACACATAACTTTCAGAAACTTACCACAAATCAACCAGAAAAAAAAGGAGAACTAGAGAAAAGATTAAAGCATCAAGAGTCCACTAACCTTAAACCATTGAATAGCTGTTTAGATTTGTCCAAAAGATAACAGAAATCTGTAACTGTTTTCCTCTCTCCCTGTGGGATGTCATCTTCAGCACCTCCAGAGGACATGATTTCTTTAAGAGCAAATTCAGTCCTGTAAGAAAACATAAGCTCATTTACCCAGTTGAGAGAAAGAGAGAGGCTATAATCCAATAGCATTTCCAAAGACATATACAGAATTTTTTTATCACCAAGATAAAAAGTATAAGATAGTATTGGAAAACAGATAATCTCACATTGTTGAGAATAAAAATTGGTAGAAACACATTAGAAAGCTATTATATAACATTCCTTCATCTAACATAATTTCAATGCCTATTCTATTATAGGCACTGATATGGTTAATAATGTGAAATATTGATTCTTTCACCTATTTGTCCATTTTGATTTTTCTGTAAATTCATCACAGAAAATGATTCTATAAATGGAAAATATCTTCCCCATATTTCATTATCAAGACTAAAAACTGAAAACAACTTAGTAAGTCCAAAGAGTGAACCAGGTATTTACAGAATACTAACCTAACCACTGCACTTACCCTATGGCTAACTTAAACTTCTATTTAAGAAGGTGAAGGTGAGGACTAGGGAGATGGGTCAATAAGTAAAGTCCTTGACACAAAAGCATGAAGTCATGAGTTTGATCCCAGCACTTATATAAAAAGCTGGGTGTGACAATGTATACCTGGAATCCCAGAGGGTGGAAGAGACAGGTAGAAATCCCTTGAGCTCATTGGCCAGCCAGCCTAGCCTAATTGGCTAACCCCAAATCTCAGTGAGAGATTCTGTCTCAAAACACAAGGTGGACAGTACCTGAGGAATGACACCCAAGGTTGTCCTCTGGCACACACACACACACACACACACACACACACACACACACACACACACACATGAACATGAACATGCACACATATGTACATACACACACCAAAAAGAAAAACAGAATCAGTAAGTTTGGAAAAGATATAAAATGTCTCACCCACAGAGGCTTATTTTATTGATGGGGCCAGAGAGCTGGCACAGTGAGTAAAGGCACTTGCTATCAAGTCTGAAAACCTGAGTTTTGATAACCTGAGTTCAATCCCTGGAACCTACAAGATGGATGAGAAACAACTCCCAAAAGCTATCCAGTGACCTTGACACACTAAGGCATCCACACACAAACACTGACCATAAAATACAAGTAAAATGTCTTTTTTTTTTTTTTTTTTTTTTGGTCTTTGTGAAACAGGGCCCCCCTGTAGCCCCAGCTAGCCTGGACTCACTATGTAGACCAAGCTGGCCTTGAACTCACAGAGATCCACCTGCCTCTGCCTCCCAACTGCTGGGATTAAAGGTATGCATTACCACACCAGGCTAAGAGTAAAATGTCTTAATCTATATTTTACTAGATCCAAGCTATCTCCCTATGTGGGGAGGTTTGTTTGGGTTTTTTGTTGTTGTTGTTTTCTTTTTTTTAGAGACAGGGTCTCCCTGTAGTCCCAACTGACCTGGAAATCCCTATGTAGACGAGGCTGGCCTTGAACTCACATATATCCACCTAACTCTGCCTCCCAAGTGCTGGGATTAAAGGTGTGCACCACCACACAAGGTGCTATCTCCCTATGAGATTAGTTATATTAATCAGTTTTGGGTTTTTTTGTTTTGTTTTTTTTTTCTTTTTAAGACAGGGTCTCCCTGTAGCCCCAGCTGTCCTGGAACTCACTATGTAGACCAGGCTGGCCTTGAACTCACAGATATCCATCTGCCTCTGCCTCCCGAGTGCTGGGATTAAAGGTGTGCACCACCACACCCAGCTTAACCAGTCATTTTTTAAAGAGATCTTTATTTTTATTTTTAATTATGTGTATATGGGGGGGGGGGATATGTTCACATGAGTGCAAGTATCTGAGGAAGCCAGAGGCATTGGCTTCCCCAGGAGCTAGAATCATGGGCAATTGTGAGCCACCAGATATGGTTGCTGGGAATTGAACTAAGGGCCTCTGGAACAGCAGTACCTAGTCTTAATCACTGAATCATCTCGTCAGCCCTACCAGTCATTTTTTAAAATATAGGCTATACTGAATTAAAACACACACAACAACTCACTTTGTTTACAGAGAGAGAAATTCTTGGGACAACCTGAGAAAATTTCATCACAGTGAAGGGTGAAAAAAAGAAAACTGACAAGAGCCAATAAGTAGAGCAGGAACTTAGGGTATGGCTGTTATTCTAATTAATAGTTTTCTCTCCAACATTGCTATGAACAGGCACTACAAGGCAGGAAAACTGTTAGCAAGTCTAGAGCTGTCAAGGAGCTACAGGGTAACACAAGGGTGTCACTAGAGCCAGTTGGTAGTAAGTCATTTTCAACATGCATAGAGGGTTTTGGGTGATCCCTGTATGTTCCCATGTTCCCTTCCACCACCTCTCTCTTCAATTCATAGACTAGAGGGAAAGAGACCTTGAGAAGTGCTGAGAAAGGAGTTCACATCATAATATAAAAGACCTTGATCCTGGCAAGCTCTCTCCCAGACACATGCCTGCAACTGGCCCCTTCATTTCCAAAGCCCAGCAGGAAAGTCATAAACCAGGCTAGTTTTCCTGATTCCAGCTCACAGTCTCACTAGTGAGGGCTGCTAATGTCTGAAGACAAGAGTTCACAAGAGGAAAAAAGTAAAATAATAATTAATAAAGTTCAATTTAAGTGGGGCTGGACAAATGGCTCAGTAGTTAGGAGCACTGACTGCTCTTCTAGAGGACCCAGGTTCCCAGCACCCACATGGCACTTAACACACATTCTTAAATCCAGTTCCAGGGGATACGATACCCTCTTCAGGCCTCCACGGGCAGCAGACACACACATGGAGCACTTACATACATACAGGCAAGACACTCATTCACATAAAATAAATTTTTTTTTAAATTTTATGTGTATGTGTGTATTGCCTTCATGTAGATAAGTGCACTCATGCTGTGCAATGCCCGAGGAGGTCAGAAGAGGCTGATTCCCTGGGACTGCGATTATGGACAGTTGTTAGCTGCCATGTGGATGCTGGAATTCAAACCTGGGTCTTCTGAAAGAACAGCCAGTGTTCTTAACTGCTAAGCCATCTCTCCGGCCCCAAAATAGTCTTTTTAAAAAAAAAACTTCAGGCCGGGCATGGTGGCACACACCTTTAGTCCCAGCACTTGGGAGGAAGAGGCAGGCAGATCTCTGTGAGTTCAAGGCCAGCCTGGTCTACACAGTGAGTTCCAAGACAGCTGGAGCTACAGGGAGACCCTGTCTCAAAAAGACCAAAAAAATAAAAAATAAAAATAAACTTCAATAAGGGTGAATATTATAAACAAAGCAAGAATAAATTGTTATTATAAATATATACAACACTGAAATAATGAACTTAATAGAGAGGTTAGAGTAGAAAGGAAACTTTTGAACAAATTCATCAAATAAAAGTGTCAGCTGTATTGGACTAGAGAGATGGCTCAGTGGTTAAGAAAACTGGTTGTTCTTGCAGAAGATCCAGGTTCGAATTCCAGCACCCAAATGGCAGCTAACCCAGGGGATCCGACAGCCTCTTCTGACCAATGCAATGAGGGCATTGCACAACACAGGTGCACTTACCTATATGCAGGCAATACATGCATACACATAAAATAAAAATAATAAATAAAAATTTTTAAAAATATCAGCTTTAAGGTAGTCTGTCAAAAGTTATGAGAAAGATGGGGCTGGAAAGATGGCTCAGCGGTTAACACTGACTGTTCTTGCAGAAGACCCGGGTTCGAATCCCAGAACCCACATGGCAGCTAACAGCTATCTGTAACTCCAGTTCCAGGGGATCCGACAGCCTCTTCTGTCCTCCACAGGCAATGCATGACATGGGTGCACTTACCTACACTCGGGCAATACACGCATACACATAAAACAAAAATAATAAATAAAATATTTAAAAGTTATGAGAAAGAGATGAGATATAAGTCAAGAAATGTGGCACAGAGAAATGAAAGAAATCAACATCCACATAATAGGACAGAGAGATAGAAACACCAAAAGGGTGTGAAGAAGTAATTGTAAAAATAATGACTAAATTTCCTAGAATGAGAAAAATACAAAGATCTCAAACAGAAAAGAGCGGAGGGAGGGAGGGAGGGAGGGAGGGAGGGGGAAGATCTCTCACATGTAAAAACATCAAAGTAAAGCTTATAAAATCTAGAAACATCCTCTCACTCTCCTGAAAACTTAGAGTCACTAGGTGTGTATCTAGGCCTACATGGGTGTTCAACATGAGGAGCAGCTTGCAAGGTTTGCTGGAGCCCCAGCAAGGCAGAGAGGCATATGGAAGGGGGAGGCCTGTGAGGGAGAGAGAAAGCCTGAGCTCCACGGAGAATTTTAACTGTCTAATTACAGCAATGAAACACAGAAAGTACAAGATGATCTGAAATATCTTATATAAAATGAAAGTGTTCAGAGAAGAGTGAAGACAAGCAGAAAGACAGAGGATCATCCAGTCTGAAGGAAATCCTATTGGCCAAATGAGACAATTTCAGAATCAAAACAAAAGATAGCGTAGTGGCGCATGCCTTTTAGTCCCAGCACTCTCTGTGAGTTCAAGGCAAGCCTGGTCTACATAGTGAGTTCTAGGCTAGCTGGGGCTACAGGGAGACCTGTCTCAAAAAAGACCAAAAACAAAAACAAAGGCTAGCAGTAGGTTCTAACCTAGTGAATGAACTAGGAAGTCATATATATAGTAACACTGATGAATAAATGGAAAACCTGTGAGTTGGCTTCAAAGTTCTCTATAAAATGGAACATTTAATTCCAAAAAAGAAAAAGTAACTTTTTGTATTTTATTTTTATTATTTTTATTTTATGTGTATGTGTGTATTGCCTGCATGTAAGTAAGTGCACCTGTGTCCTACAATGGCCTCGGAGGTCAGAAGAGGCCATCAGGTCCCCTGGGACTGGAGTCACAGATGCTGCCATGTGGGTGCTAGGATCTGAATCCAGGTCCACTGCAAGAACAACCAGTGTTCTTAACTGCTGAGCCATCTCTCCGGCCCCAAGAAAATGTAACTTTGCAGCAGCAAAACCTGGTAAGGAATTTAACGA